CCCTTCCTTTCCTCATGGAACTCCTTGAATGGAAGAGCACCTTTTGTAGACAGCCAGTTTTCGACAGAATCTCATAGATGCCATCCCTACTAACTACACTGAACGCCTTTTGTAGGTTGACAAATGCTACATAGAAAAGTGCCTGTGGTTCACAGCTTTTTTTCTTGCAGCAAACGCAGTGTGAAGGACATGTCAGCTGTGGAGCACCCAGCTCTGAACCCACACTAGCTCTCAGGGTAGACTCTCTCAGCAAGGACTTGCAGTCTTTTCAGCAAGACCTTTGCAAGCACCTTGCCAACTACACTGAGCAGAGATATCCCTTGGTAGCTGTTGAAGTCTGCTCTGTCCCCTTTATTTTTGTATAGAATAATTATCTTTGCATCTTTCAGATCTTGGGGTATATGGCTTTTTTCACAGAAGGTGCAGAGAAGTGAACGTTGCTCACAAGCTTTCTCCCCCCTGCATTTAGGAGCTCCAGAGGTATCTGATCTTTGCCTGCTGCTTTTCCCAGGCACAATCTCTTCAATAGCTTTCTCTACATCTTTGAGATTTGGAATTTGGTCTAGCTCCTGCATCAGTGGAAGCTGGGGAATAGCAGCTAAGGCAGTATCGCAGATAATAACATCCTCTGAGTAGTGTTCTTTGTAATGCTCAGTCCATTGGTCAAGTTGTTCTTGCCTGTCAGTCAGGATGGCACCATCTTTCACTTTCAGGGTTGCAGTCTTTTTACAGGTTGGACCAAATGCCTCTTTAATTCCATCATAGGTACCACAAAAGTCCCCTCTTTCAAAGCAGACCTGAATCTTTTCGTACAGGTCTTCCCCATACCTCTGGGTACATTTACTGGTGGCTTTCTGGACCACAGCCTTAGCTTCTTTAAACTTGAGATTTCTAGACTTAACTGGGTGTTGAAGTAGAGTTAGGCGAGCTTGCTTTTCCTTTTCTATGAGTGGGAGCAACAGATGTTCAGACACTGCGAACCAATCTGGTTGTCTTTTCTTTGTTATTCCAAAGACATCTTTGGCAGTAGCCAGTGTCTTGTTCTTGAAATTTTCCCACAAAGTGTCAGAATCAGGGGAATCAAGTTAATCGTTTTCAGAAACACGCTCAAGTGCACATTGAAACTTTACACAAGTGTCAGAGACCTTCATGTTAGTGATGCTGAGGCAAGGTTTGCCTTTTGGCTTTACATGATGGCTCTTTTTTGGGTGTACTTGGAGCTTGGCCCTGACAAGGGCATGGTCAGTGCTGCAATCACTGCAATGCATTGATCGAGCATACATTATATTGCAAATGTTTCTGTGACACATGGGGATGAGGTCAAGCTGATGCCAGTGTCCTGAGCCAGGGTGCTTCCATATGAACTAGCTGCAGCTGCTGCCAGTCACAAGAGACACAAAGCTCAAAGCCATGCTGGCCATTTTCATTGAGGCTACCTGTGCTGTGTTGGCCAATGATGTGTCCCCAGTGCACCCAGACCTTACCCCACATGGGCACTGAAATAACCCAGAACATTGAGTCTCTTCCTTGCGGAGATATTCTTGATGATTTGTTCCAGCGGGGAATAGAACTCATCTTTTTGCTGTTCGCAGTAGTTAAGTGTCAGTCCATAGATGACCAGAAGAGTTGGGTTTCCAAGTTCATGCTCACATCCAGCCGCATGATCCTTTCATTGCTAGATACCAGAGGGGTACATGCAGACTTCTTAACAGCAAATCTGACACCATGTATCCATGGTTCATTTTCAGGTTTCCCAGACTAGCAGAAATGGTAGTTTACTTCACCTAGTGATCCAGTTTCTGAAAGTCTCATCTCACAGAGGGCTGCAATATCAACACCCAATTATAGCTGTTTTCTGAAGTTCATGGTCTTTCAGTTCAAGCCCGGTTAACGTAGTGTGAATGTTCCAACAAGCAATGATTAGTTTACAGCCAGGAAAGAAGTTTGAAGGAAGCTTTTTTAACCCACCTTTCCTAGGACCTTTCCCAGGACCTTTCCCAGACTGGGGCAAGCAGGCCAACCCTAAACAGGGCTGCTTGGACATCTGAGCTGCTGCCAAATGCCTGGGTCCTTCCCCACAAAGATGAACAGCCATTGAGGACAGACCTTCGATGTGTAAGCCTAGGCAGAGCAAAGAAGGAAGGGGTTGCCATGGACCCTCCACCTTCTCTCTCGGCAGAGACTATAGGACTCCAATGGCAAGACAAAAGTCAAGATGGTTGGTACAGGCCTGCTGCAGGTTGTAGCCAGAATACCACTCCAAGTTGAAGGAAGTGCCCATGTTATCATGTCTGCAATTGTGCCTTTTCTGGATGTGTGGGATCCCAGCAGTGTGGATACTGTTGGCCAACAGGATTCTGGCTCATCCACTTTTCTGAGGACATTTCCTTCACCCAGGGGTTTCCCTACCCTACCCTTAGGTGATCCCCACCCGGAGCCATTGCGACTTCCCAAGGGGAGACAGCTTGTTGACTGGTCCCTGTCACTCACTGTTGTGTTGCTGGCTGCACCAGCTATGCATCCAGTGGTGAATCCTGGGGGGGAACTAGCAAGACAGCATTGGTGTTTAAGGGATTAAATATAAAACATATGCTGGTAGGGGTACGCAGGCAGCTGGTAAATCTGGAAAGAGGTATGCAATAAGAAAAAGTTTGGCAACCTCGGCCTTAAAGTGTGTCCAGCCCTGGGGCTGGCTTTACACTAGTTCAGCGGCTATCACGGCTGGAAACAGCCAAGGGCTGTAGAGGCTCCAGAGTGGTTTAACATTAGCCAGCACTCAATGGAGAACAGCAGCAGGCTCATGTATTCCCCTCGTCTACTTAGGGCTTTGTTACACATTAGTTTTAAGCTATTCCTGGAGCTCTTAACCCCTGGATTGTCCACACGTTAATACTAGTTTTAAGCACCCTTTAGGTGGCTTAAAGTCATACCACTCCAGGTTTGTACATGATCTGTGTTACTCAGCTTATGTTACCCTAATGTGTGGCCACCCTAAGCTATATGTTAGTGTAACGCACCCCACAGTCTCCCAGTAGCCTGAATCGAGCCTGCTGCCTTCCCCTGCCCTGCCCCCAGACGGGGCTGCTGTCCCTGATGGCCCCCTGCCCTCCACCATTCCCCACCACCATCCCCGCCCAAGCCTGGATTGACCCACTGCTCCATCCTGCCCCCATCTCCCACCAGCCCAAATCACGCTGCTGCCCCCTGT